GGAGTTGGAGGAGGCTCAAACGCGCATCTTGCACAATCCATCAGCCTGTGCCTGACGAAGCTTCATGGAAGCAGCTGGTGTCCATATATCTTGCAAAATGTTCCAGTGCTCAAGCACATTGTGCGAAAGCAGACTAGAACTGCGCACATTGCGCGCACCGAACCAAACCACTCAGTCCTGAGGAGACACTGCCCACAATTCAAACAAACTGCTAGTGCACAGGAGAGAAAGGCATACCACAACGGCACAAGTCAAGAAAGCCGGAAAACCCTGAAATCGTTTTGGCATTGTTACTCTAGGCTCTGTGATGCAGGAGTTAAAGACAAACCTGGTAGGCAGCACAGCGCCGAGCTAGTCATGAAGTCTTGCGATAAACCATGAATGAACCATCGTGCTGAAGCAGCATATATAGATCCTCCTAAAATTTTCCGGCTTGCATGAGGTTTCAAGACTGTTGCTCCTGCACGTCCAGTCTTAAAACCCACAAAGCACAGCGGACAGCGTGCGACGATGAAAAATGCCATTGCAAGACAATTTGGGCCCTGGTTTACGTCGACCCCGGTTGCATCTAGCAGGACCAAGTGCATCACACCAACAAGGAAGCAAGCTTTCCACCCCTGCACAACATGATTCTAAGCTTGGAAGCTTCTTGCTCAAAAAGCGAAGGAAGATCAACCTCTGTCATGTACTCATGCGTCCTCTGGAATATGCAATCAGGAAATCGTTCCTCTCTGCTTATGCTTGCTTGAAGAAGCAGCAATGACGTGGCCAGTAGAGCCTGCAAGAGCCGATTGCAAAAAAGTTGGTTGGCCTCTGGCTCTTTCAAGAAGGAAAAGCATGCTAGCTGGCGCTAGCTTTGCTCCTGCACTGCAACGTGGCTTTAGTTCAAGACGTGGTTCCAGACGTGGACCAAACGCGTGCATGACCAATGGAAGAAGAAACAACTTGCTCCTTGGCATTGTTTACCTGCTGCTGTCGCACCACATAGCTCGCACGTGGTATTTAATTGCAAGGCGCGCTTGGTCACGCCATCAGTCAAGAACCAAGACACCAAGAACTCGCACGCCAACACGAGCACCTTCTCGCCGGTGCTCAAGCCAACTGGACATACTCAAAGTCAGGACTGGACGTGAGTGCGGGCACGCCAAGCAGAGTGGGAAGTCTGGTTGCCAAATTAAAACCGCAGTCACAATTCGCACATAGCATTCATCACGTGAAGCGCCAAGCATCAAACTGGGCAACAGCTTTGTTGCGCACTGCATGTTGCAACGGCAATTAACAAATCTCAAGCGCTCAAGTATCCTGCTTGGGACAGAGAACAGCCACAGAAGCTCACCAAAGCAACCGCTGCCACAGTTCAACTCTGCAGGCCATGAAAGTCTGGAGACGCAACATCTGGGTGGATTTGGTGAACCACATTCAAATCCTAGTTGATTGCACCGCTGGCGCTCTCTTTGCATCATTTCTCAAAATGATGTATATGTGTATATATAGCTTCGAGAGCACTCCACAAGTGGAGAGAATTGCCTCCTCCAGTTGTGGCCATCGTAGGAGAAGGCTGTTGAATTGACCCACGACTGTTTCATAGAGACACAGCCTTACGCGAAGTTCGGCAGGCAAATGCATTTCTAAGGCAATTGTCGCATGTGGAGTTGCGTGTGGAGGCAAGCCATAGAGACAAGTCCGCTCGCAATTTGCAAACTGATGTTGTAGAGAGAAGGAAACAACATCCGGCTCACGCAGGTGTGCGGCAAAGCAATCGCTCTCAGAGCAGCCCCTTTCGTGAAGTCCGACTCTGCAATATGTTTGGCCCTTCTAGTGCTATTGCCAAAGGCTACCTTTTAACCTATTCTGTGGGTTTCACAGCAACCCACGCTCCTAACCGAAAAGAAGGGGATCCAGTCTGCTATCAACCTATTGACTGAACTTCTGCCCGTCGCAGCCAGGGAGCTGGAGCATGTTGAAGGCGTGTCCGAATCAGCAGCAATACAATCATTGTTACTTGAGGGGAGTTCATGTCATCCTGGACTCACAGCAAGAGTAGAGCAAAACAGGCCTCAACTGTCCCTTGCGGTCTGACATGGCCTTGCGCCTTGGCCCTAGCCTGTCTAAGCTTGCCAAAAGATTTTGGCTTATCTCTGTTGGACATCAAATGAGGAGACTAATGTCTGCTAGTTAGCTTTGAACTGTGGAGAGATTGCTGAAGGCATGGAGAAGTTTGGCGCCTTTCTTCCATTGGCTCACTTCTGCCACTACCTTGAATCAAGCTTGCCATGCAGAACCTAGAAGGATCGCATGTGATCAAAGCTTAGGCACTTTCGGGCTGCTTTCACTATGCCTTCCACGCGATGGCTCCCGCATGTAAGATGGAAATGTAGAGGGAGCAGTGGAAACGGATTCAAGGAGTCAACATGAAAATGCATCCGGTTTCGCAAAGATGCAGGGTGCTTGCGATCGCCCGAAACACGACACGGGATGCGCTACTTTTCCAAAATTGACCAGCTTGCTGCCCTCATCCAAGCGCACTTCTGGTCACTCAAGGAATGTCAAAAGCAAGGGCTTTGGGGCAGGATTCCAAAGCCCAATGCTTGTCACGGGTCTGTAGTCAACATTGGGATGCATCAAAGAGTATCAACTTACTTTCTCACTGCTGGCACGTCAAACAGGCACTCAGCAAAATTTGAAATGCCCTCCACCATCTCCAAATTGGCACAACTGTAAACTATGTCGTGGCCAAAGAGGTATGGACGGGCATCTTTGGAATATGCTGGCACAACTCTATTCGTTCACCACCCTGCCCTGAGGGATGACCTGTAAGCATGGTTGCCAGTGATATCTCCATGGCCTCTAGGCCTTCATGCGTCATCACACAATGCGTTCCAGAGCCTGCGCAATGATGTTTGGCATTCCAAGAAAACTGTTAAGACGCGAGAACTGCCATGTCACGGACTGTCGCATGACACCAAATGGACTGATAACTGTTGAATTGTTAAACGAGTATGTTCACCATCGGAACGTGGAAAAATGTTTTTAACTTTAAAATGGAACCAGTAAATATGTCAGTCTTGGGCAAAAAATTGTTTCAATACGAAACTGTGTGGCTCTATTGCCTCCTTCCAAGCAGATCTTGACGCATCGTGATTTCATACGATTTCTAATGCGCAATGCGAGCGAAAAAACAACCAAACCTCCAGCGACAGCACGACGCACCAAAGCCCCTTGGCCTCCTTGCCAGCCAGCTTTGGATCAGAACCATGGAGGATGGATCTAAAACCTGGCACTTTGATCTGATCCGAGCAGGGGCATAGCTGGCATAGCTCAACATTAAAAAAAAATGACTGGAATTGAAACGGGTTGCCCTTTTCACAACATGAAAGGTTTCAATGATGTTGCCGACCTCAGAAGTTTGCTCGCAACGTTGCCCATCAAGTTTGGCCTCGAGATCAATCGCATTTCAAGACTGAACCCGTCAAAGAATCATTGTACAGTTTCAAATTTGACATGCCAAGTTGCCTTCAGGGACCCAACGGCATCCGACAGGCCCAGTTTCAACCATCATGCAGTGCCACTTTCCAAACAGCAGGCACGGTGGAATTTAAAAACCGATCATCTCACAAACATGCCTGACAATTTTGTTTTAACACTCTTGGTCTTGTATGTGGTCACGACTGACCAGATCTTGCCGACCTCCAAAATGGACCCATTTTTGGCACAGCATTGTTTTTTTGATGGCTGCCGCCAACTAGCTGAAAATTGACTGACAAAGTGCACGCAGGCAATCCAAAAGTGAAAGGTTTCGTGCTTGATTTTGATGGAGTACTCCCGGATGGAATTTGATCCGAAAGTACTGGCGGATCCAAGTTCCCAGCTGTGTTTGGGAGCAACAGGCTGAGGATTTTCCATCCCGGTTTCAACCAAAACGGACCATCTTGGAGGAAACAATTCCGGGAAAACTTGTGTCAAAGTTCCAATGATGTTAAAAAACACGGCCTTGGGCCTGCAGGCACCGAACCACGTCGTTCTTCCAATGGCAGATGCGCTTCCGTTTCTGGGTAGTGGCGATCCAAGGCACTTTGCATTTGCTGACGCAGCGCCTCAGCCGGACCTCTCCCACGAAAAGCTTCATGCCCCCGGTGGATGAGCTCAAACAATAGCAACAAGACTACTCCAGGTCTCACAAGCAGAGCCTCACATTGACCAACCAAAGGCCCCAATTCATTGGCCAAAGTAAGCCGCACCAGGTATCGCAGACATTCTGGTGAACGCGGCAATTCTTGCATTTCCTTTCCGTGGTTCGATCTCGTAACTGTCGCAAGATGTCTTCCCAGGGCATGACAAAAGAACTGACGTAGCCGCGCATGGCTGTTCTCCAGCGTTTCTGCCCCAATTTCTCTTGCAATAAATGTCCACGATCTCCTTCCACATAAAAAAGCGACGTCGTTGTCCAGATCGGTATTGCCACTAACGTTTCAATAAAACGGACTTCATGTCCCACCACCACTGCGCTCATGTAGCCCCAGAAATTGTCGTTAGACAAAG